ATGGCTCAGATGGCTCTCATACTCTCAGTCTTATGCCCCAGAATCCCCGCCGAGCGCCTCATTCTCGATCGCCGGCCGGAAGGATGCCACTAAAGCATTGAAACAGATTAAAGTCGCAGTCGCTCTCCATTGCATGTGTAAACTCGAAGCACAGCAGGGGAAGCCCCAGTGTGCATTGGGACAGAACACGCTCAGCCACAATGGCTGCTGAAATTTTAAAACATGACCACTCGCATCGCAACAGAGTGGCTCTCTGAGTCTCTGAACATAGCACTAAACATTCAAGTCCATTCTGACTCGGCTCCAGCCCTGTGGGACGAAACGAGCCCGGCGGACTTCCTTCTCTCTGCCTTCTGCTTGAGGGGCTTCTCAGGCTTCTCACGAGCCTGAGAGGGATACGAAGTGGTCCCAGATGGAATTGGACTAGCTTTGCAGTGCCTTCTCTCTCCTGCCTCCGACACGTCCGACACCTTGGGCTTTTTGCCCTCGCTTTGTGCCGCGTTGGACTGCCTGCCTCAGAGCGAAGCTTGGCAGGCATCCCCAACGGCAGCACATGATGCAACATGATGCAACATGCAACATGCCGCGGCTCCCAGCGAAGCAGCTCCTCATCGTCCTCGCGGTGGCACGGGGAAAGACACAAGAAAGGAAAACCTGACTGCTTGGGTGTTTTGCTTGGGACTGAGTAGCTACTGAAAGGGCACCAGCATGGCCCTTACCGTCCAGAAGCTCCCAATCGTCAGCTTCGTCATCCTGGGTGAGACGCTGAGACGCTGAGACGCTGAGACGCTGAGACGCTGAGACGCTGAGACGCTGAGACGCTGAGACGCTGAGACGCTGAGACGGTTGGACAGGCAGTCAAGGTAATGCGGAAAAAACCCCCAGCCTTCTTCTTTTCCTCGACAGCCTTCTTGGGCTTCTCCTTGAAGAGCCTCCCAGAGAGAGCCGAATGCAGCTAAGCAGCCCGGGACATCGCGTCGCGGCTGAAAAAGGCTGAAAAGTCTCAACGTCCGAGTCTCGGGCCCCTTCTTCGGCTTTAAACCCTCCTCCTTCGGCTCCTTCGGCTCCTTCGGCTCCTTCGGCTCCTTCGGCTCCTTCCCGTCCTTCCCCTTCTCTTTTGCCACCCTCTCTCTCCCCTCTTTCTCTGCCGCTTTGACTCTCTTCTCCTCCTTCTTCGCCTGCAAGGGTGGTCCACGTGGTCCACTTCAAAGTGATTGAGGCTTGAATCGGGGTGCAAAGGCACCTTCTTCACGTCCTGCTCACCCTTGTGACCCTTGTGCTTGTTGCCCTTCTTTGCAGGGGCTGCGGACCTCGCCAGGATGCAAAAGCCACTCGCAAGGCCACTCAAAGAGCCACGCAAAAAGCGACGCGAAAAGCCCCGGGCGATTCGGAAGTGCTGCGCTTCCGGGCCATGGCATTTGTGGGACAGGCGCTCAAGCACTGCAGAAAGGCAGAAAGTGAAAACGTGCGTCAAAAAAGGTGTCCCATGAGCTGCCCTCAAGTCGCCAAGCAAGAGTGGTTGACGCAGCGTCGTGTTAGAACATCTTAGGAGCCCGTACCCGTGACTTGCAGAACATGACAGCACATCGTGCTTTCATCGTGCTTTGCTGCACTATGGTGATTTGGGAGCTCAAGGGTAGCATAGACAAGCATGCAGCATCAGAGAATCACGATAGGAGAGGGCATCATTTCGCATCTCACAGCAAAAACGCTGAGGCGTGGTACCCACGTAACACCTCGAGCCGACTTTTCGGCCTTCTCGGCCTTTACCCGGGGCAAGATGCTGCGCAAAATCTGTGAGAGAGCAGAGTATTGGCAGAGTACTGGCATGCACACTTTAAGAGCCGAAGGACGAGAGAACGCCCCGAAGGTGGCCGCCTGAAGGCGAAGTGAACAGCATGGCCCGCATGCGTGATGCATGTGGCACATGTCACGTGTTCCTCAACCAAATGGAAAACCCACTGTCGCAACTAACTCTTGTAGCTGTCTGGTCCAACACGGCCCAACTGGGCTGCCCCAACAAGAAAAGCCGGCGCATGTGAGTCAGAAGGGGGTCAAACAGGGTCAGACGGGCTCAGAAGACCGGGCACTCCGGAAAGTTGCCTGGCCAGGAAGGCGACAGAGGCGACAGAGGCGACAGAGGCGACAGAGGCGACAGACGCGACAGACGCGACAGAGGCGACAGGAGAGATGCCACAACCGTGACCACCTGGTGGTCCTGGTGACTTGCGACGATACCAACGACATTGCTGCGCCCCGAAGAGAGGTTTTCCTACGATACCCGTGATGCCGGCAGTCGAATTGTCCTCCTTTTGCTGCAGCAATTCAAGGAGGCAGGGGTTGAGGGGCAGAAGCGGGGCCAGAAGCGGACACGTCACGCAATGCCGGTCAATACCCCCCTGCTACAACAGACTTTCACAGAGTTTCACCCGAGGCGTGCCCGAGGCGATCCACCAGGCGCGGATCCACCAGACCATCGATGGATGCCTCTCAGAAACGTGGTATGTGGACATATGTGGAAATGACGCATAGCTCTTGCATTCCTGCTGCCGACGCTGTCGCATCTTGGACTTGAGAAGTACCTGACAGAAAGTGCTAGCAAATAACACATGACAACTAACAAACAACAAACAACACACTACATAAGCATATCAAACATATTGAAAGATGAACAATAATGGCAAATCTTCTCCTTTATCTCGTCTCTTACGCTCTCCTTGTGCACGCTGCTGGACACCCAACAGGTGCCAGCATCTAAAGGGCTGAAGACATTCAATCGCACTTCAGCCAGAAAAAAAGGCCCATGGAAGACGGAGCGGGCCAAGCCATGTGTGACGCAGGTTAATGCAGCCATCTGAGTTGCTGCATGCTGCATAGACACGGCCAGGCATTGTCAAAGGAAGCTGTACAGGGCCCCAGTCCTCTGCCTCAGCCATCTCACGGAAGCTGTGCGTAAGACCCGGGTCGGCTGGCTCGGCGGCAAATGGACAGACACCCAAAAGGCATCAGCACTGCTGCGCCGGCCAATCCGGCAAGGCTCAGCGGACCCAAGGGACCCATTCTGGAGAGCCTTTCCATGGTCTCGTCAAAGAGCTTCGTGATTCGCTTTGGTTGCATCTCATGCTCATCCTCGGCGAGGGCGCATGTCTGCTGCGTTTTCTTGAAGGCTTGCTCGAGAGAGATGCCCGCGCTGACCTTGCCCTTGTTGAGGTGTGCCCGAGCTTGCTTGAGATCTGCAAGCTGATGGCATGGAGGACTGTGCACGAGACACTCAAAGTCGGCAGGTCCTGAGACGGTGCTCTTCTTCGCCTCATCAAATCCATAATCCACTTCGCCGGCTCGCATCTCGCATCGGCCCTCGCTCAAGCGAAACTCCACTGCGGCACATCCCAGCTTTGCCTTACATTTCTCCATGCACTCATGGAGGCCTTGCAGGCCATCGTGAACAGTCTCAGGATCACTGATCAGGTCCGTCCGGGATTCCCGACAGACTGAATGAGGCCCCAAGCTCACCCAAGTTGCTTCGGACCAAACCTTGTGGCAACCCTTCTTCCAAAGCTCAAAGCCTTCATCACAGGCCTCGCAGACGTTGGCATCCTCGTCAGGGCACTCCTTGCCCTTTGCCCCCATGCCGTTCTTGCAGCCACACTGCTTGGCCTTGCAATTTGGAGTACTCCATTGTCCATCAATGCAGATCAGAGGCTCGCTCAAGGCGTGCCCTTCAGCGCACTTGACCGGGCAGATGCTCTCGTGCTTAGTGGCGCAGCCTGACAAGTCCCCCTCGATCTTTGCAATCGGAGCTGGAGGGCCCTTGCAAGCCACTCCCGGAAGGGAGAGGGGGATCCGGCCGGATAGGTCTTCGTCCGATCTGGCAAGCGTAGCCACCATAGTTGCAAGGGGCGAAGTTGTCGTCCGTGCCTTTGGTGTTGATGATGTAAAGCCCGGTCTTCAGCCCTGCGATCTTGGCCCTCGCATACTTAACAGACTTTCTGTAGGAACCATGCGGCGGCTGTGCCTTGCAATCGTCATCCAAGACAGAAGCTTCCTGACCAGTGGAGTCCAGTTGGTAGCATTGTACCACATCGTCTTTCTCACTGCCGATGCAGGCATCTTTGATGTCTGCCGCAGGGCACTTGCCGCCGTACCGCGCCCTCCCCCCATTACAGATCTGTGTCAGGTCAAAGGCATGCTCCATCTCGTCCGGGTCGGTGATAGTGATCTGTCCTCTTGCGCTTCGCACCCAGTGGTAGGTGCCCAGGAAGATCTCCATCTCTCCATGTCTCGAAGGTGACGTCGACGTGCAGACCACGGTGGTGTGGCCAGAAGCAGCGGAAAACATCAGAGCCAAGATGGAGAAGCGCATGGCTGTGGTGGGAGACTGGGCAGGATGCTAGAATTTATGAAAGCAAAGTGCCCGTGGCTGAGGTCTCGACGCAGCGATTCAACTCCGTGAATTAGTCCCTGAGTCCTACGCCCCTGGCACCTCTTGACTCTTTTGCAGAGGGTGTCTTGCATCACTTCTATCACACTGCACTCGCAGAGACGTGGGGCCCGAGCCGAAGAAGGCCCGGCTCGCCCCGGTAAAGCTGCTACAAACCGAAAGCATGTGCCGTCAGCGTTCTTCGTTGCGGGGCGCACCAGATGCGACTGCGCGGTCTGAACATCTTCTCTTGATGGCGGCCTGCTCTGCACACAAAAGGGGGGGCTGGAATTGCTTTGCCGGGAAGAGGGGGGTGGCGCAGAGCTCGCAGCAGGGATACAGAGAACATATCAGAACATAGCAGGACATGCACTATCCGACACTTGTCCTTCGACTCATGCACCACACGTTGCGCGGATTGAAACATTCTCGCTTGTTAACTCATGCTCTGAGCTCTCTGCTTCTTACAGATCCGAACTCAAGGCCACGCAAGGACAAGGTTCTCATTCGAAGGTGAGGGCTTAGTCGCCCTTGCGAAAGTCATGCGAGGAGCGCTCTCCAGCTTTCTCTGCCCAAGAATACTTCGGAGTTCTTTGGGGGCTGTTCTGTCTGCGATTCTCCCAGCGACTTTCGAACGCTTTGCGGGCTTGGGCCCCAAGGGGCCCCAACACTAATCAAACAAACACAGAAAAAGGAGAAACAAAGCAAAAGGTGCGGAGTTTTCTCCTAATTTTGGGGGTCCGGAGGACTGCTTTGCTTCTTGTACACCCAGTCTGATGTGGCCCTGGAGGAGGAGCACGTGTCGATGCTTGGTTCTCAACATATAGCCGTCCATATGTTGCTACATGTGTCACATGCATTAAACAATATGTGGAGATCATATGCAAGCTTGCATTGTTTTGCTCTTCGTTGTATACACGACACTCCCCGGGCCGCATCATCTCGAGGCCATTGACCTGGGCCGGACAAGGGAAGGGCAAGGGCGCAGCCGGGTGGCCACTTGACTCCATGGACTCGAGAAGCTGAGGGAGATGCGGCGAGAAGCACGCTGCAACTCCTACAGGAAATGGCATACGACACGTGACGCAACACGTGACGCAACACGTGACGCACCACATGACGCCATGACCCAGGCACAAAGCCGCTCGCAGACGTTCGCAGCCGTTCGCTCCTTGCATGTGCCCCGGTGTCCGGAGGGTGGGGGCGAAATGTGCTCCAGGCTGGGAGCTGTTGAAGCGTTGAAGCTGCGAAGCTGCCGTTGCTTCGTTGCTTCGTTCCTTTGCTCAAGCGTCAAGTGCCCAAGCGGTCAAGTGCCCCCCAATCTGAACACCTCAAGGCAAGCGCTGCTCTCAACAAGCCCTCAGAGGTCAACACGAATCAAAACCGGCACCTTTTGGCACTGTGCCTCTGAAAAGCCCCCTGTATTTCAGCGGCTTGGTGAAACGAACCGAGCGCCGGTCTGGAGAAGGTGGAGGCCCAAGGCTCACATGACCAAGAACAAGAACAACCGAACAACGTAAACTGAGAGATCAAAATGAACCAAAGAAGTGACATGAAAACACACCATCTCGCACATGCCACTGTGGCAGCTCGCAGAACTCAAACCAAGTACACCCGCAATCAACAACAAAAGGTTTTCTTCCTATGAACTAACCATTCCACAAGAAAACGAAGTGTTCGCGCTCGGAGCACCAGCTTTGGCAAGGCTTAGGTACTGTCCAGGTACTGTGTCTTTTCAGCGCCCTCGGCGCTCCATCCTTCGATTCTTCAACTCCGAAAATGGTCCGCACATTGGCCCCCAGAGTGAAACCAATAATGAAACTCGCAGCAACACAAAGGGCGCCTCCTTCAGAGGCATATAGAGGCATTGAAAGCTCTCCTGGGAGTGGACTCTGAAGTCTCGGCACCAAAACAGAGAAGAAGACTTCCAAGATCACAAGACTGCAGGTTGGCAAGGGATGTCAAAAAGCGAAGACACGTGAGAGCCATGACTCTGCAATGACAGGCCAAGCCCTCTGCAATCTCATCTAGGTCCATGACTCGGTGCGCAGCTGCACTTGGAGAGGGCGCCGTCACCCCCAGGACCGACGAGGGCCTCACTATGTCACGAGTGTCACAGCAGCGCCACGGCATCGCACATTCGCAGGCTGCGCTCGATCTGCCGCAAGCTCCTAGGTCCTCCCCCCAGGCTTCCAGGCTGGAGAGGGTCCCTAAACGGCGGGCCCGGCCCGGCCCGAAAGGACTTTCAGCCTCGCTGGAAAAGGAAGGCACGAAGCAAAGGAAACAAAACACAAGAAGGGAGGGAAGGACGCGCGAAAAGGAGGAGCTCTCAAACAGCTCAAGTTCTCTCTGTTGGGTCGCCGGCGCGGGCAGCGCGTGTGCTGGGGACGCCCGGGACGCCCGGGACGCCTGGGACACCCGCGACGCCCGGGCGGTGCCTGGATGCCGCCGATACTGCCGATGCCGCCTCTCGGCCTCTCTGCAAGACTGCGGTCAATCTGCCGAGAGCAGGAGAGAGTGCAACGCGAAGCTCGACAGAAAAAAACAAAAGAAACATCACAATATCACAGGGAGCAAGTTGTGGGAGAACCTGCCGGGGTTCAACGCATGCTGGTGTATGTTGGCAAGCGATGGGAAGGGGGAAAGCAGCTGTTGAACCGGTCAAAACATGCAGAAAAGCAGCTCTCAATGTGTGGCAGAGCATGCGCACATGATCACATATCATCCGAGAATGGCTCTTAACTGCTTTCAAAGTTCGCGAAGGCCTGTGCGAATGTGTCTGCACGTCACTCTCAAAACCATATTGTTGCATCGAAACCCTGGCACCAAAGAGAGCTTGCACATCGTTGGCCTTGTGACACAGTGGCCAGCACTACATGCACACACAGACATATGTGTATAAAGATGTGGAAAGGAGCACAACTCCGTGAACCCCATAGCCACAAAGTGCCCAACATTGAGCATTCAAATTGGAGCGTGCTTTGGGGAGTTTTCTGTTTTACAGGGTCACTGAACCGCTACAACAGTTTTTTGTAACAGGGCAAGTGGGGCCAATGTTCGGAATCGGCAAGCCCCAGCCACTCCACGCTGAGACATCTCCAGCTTTGGATCACTGACTCAAATCTTCTGTACATTCAAGGCTAGCAAAAAAGAAACGCTGTAAGAAAACTACTCCTACCACATTGTATGACTCGTACACGACCAGTTTGAGATCACCACCCATGTAGAACAATCATCACTCGACTTGCAGGACATACCCTTTGTTTCAGAGCTGACTGATGCAGAGGCAGGACCCAGGTCATGGGCTTCCTGGTTGCATTGACGCTTCGCCCTTTTCTACCTAAGCAATCGTGCTCTTTTGCGTCGAGCCCATGGCGTGCACATGCTACGCTAACCAAGGAAGTATCGGTGTGGGATGGTCCTCTTTCTCTTTTTATCTCTGACCCAACAAGGCATGGCACACCTCTCGCGAACCATATTTGCCTCTGAAGCCCGTGCCGAGCCCGTGGCGTGCACACTTTCGGCAGTCTTTTGGGGCAGCGGTTTTTGGAACACGAGGGAGGTGTGTGTGTGTGTGTGTGTGTGTGTGTGTGTGTGTGTGTGTGTGTGTGTGTGTGTGTGTGTGTGTGTGTGTGTGTGTGTGTGTGTGTGTGTGTGTGTGTGTGTGTGTGTGTGTGTGTGTGTGTGTGGTGTGTGTGTGTGTGTGTGTGTGTGTGTGTGTGTGTGTGTGTGTGTGTGTGTGTGTGTGGTGTGTGTGTGTGTGTGTGTGTGTGTGTGTGTGTGTGTGTGTGTGTGTGTGTGTGTGTGTGTGTGTGTGTGTGTGTGTGTGTGTGTGTGTGTGTGTGTTGTGTGTGTGTGTGTGTGTGTTGTGTGTGTTGTGTGTGTGTGTGTGTGTTGTGTGTGTGTGGTGTGTGTGTGTGGTGTGTGTGTGTGTGTGTGTGTGTGTGTGGTGTGTGTGGTGTGTGTGTGTGTGTGTGTGTGTGTGTGTGTGTGTGTGTGTGTGTGTGTGTGTGTGTGTGTGTGTGTGTGTGTGTGTGTGTGTGTGTGTGTGTGTGTGTGTGTGTGTGTGTGTGGTGTGTGTGTGTGGTGTGTGGTGTGTGTGTGTGTGTGTGTGTGTGTTGTGTTGTGTGTGTGTGTGTGTGTGTGTGTGTGTGTTGTGTGTGTGTGTGTGTGTGTGGTGTGTGTGTGTGTGTGTTGTGTGTGTGTGTGTGTGTTGTGTGTGTGTGTGTGTGTGTGTGTGTGTGTGTGTGTGTGTGTGTGTGGTGTGTGTGTGTGTGTGTGTGTGTGTGTGTGTGTGTGTGTGTGTGTGTGTGTGTGTGTGTGTGTGTGTGTGTGTGTGTGTGTGTGGGTGTGTGTGTTGGGTGTGTGTGTGTTGGTTGTGTGTGTGTTGGTTGTGTGTGTTTTGGTTGTGTGTGTGTTTTTTGGGGGGGGGGGTGGGTTGGTTTTGTGTGTGGTGTGTGTGTGTGTG